TTAGAATTTGCAAAAAGAGTTCAGGATAGAGATTGCATTTGTTGTCTTTTTTTTTTTTTGGAGACACAGTCTTGTTCTGTCTGCTGTCCTTTTTAATAAGCACCAATGCACATAGTAATAATAGGCATTTGTCTGAGGTTTATGAAGTTAGAATTTGCAATAAAGAGTTCAGGATAGAGATTATGCTTACATAATAGAATTTAAGTAAACATCAATTAGAATTTTAGACACTTTTTGTCAAAAATGACTTGTAGTCTGGGGCAGTAGTTTTCATCAATATTATAAGAGGTTATTGCATTTCTAATATGTTCTTCATTTACTTTTTTTTTCTTTAGTAACTGACAGTTCCTAATTTCGTTTACTTTTTAGAGCAATGCCAGAAGATTCCTACACTGTTAGAGTGAGTGTGGATGGGGTTCCTATTGCAGAAAATAATACCTGCAAAGGTCACATCAACAGCTGGGCATGCAGCTTCAATGTATGTAGGGCTCTTCTCTTTAAATTATGTATCATTTATCTTATTTTCTTTCTTGCAAAACTGGGTTTTTATTTTTTAATTTTATAGATTATCTATTTCTACATTTAAAAATATATTAGCATGTAACTAAGGATAACCTCCCTCAGTTTTAATTATCTTCCATAGTAATAGAATCTCTTTTATTTCTGATTTGTTTCCCCCTCCTTTAAATTCTTTTTATTAATGAATTAAAATTTTATGCTTCCAAATTATTTTCTTGTTTATATTTTTCCATTTTTATCCATTTCTGCTCTTAGCTTAATTTTCCCTTTTCCCATTTTCATTGGACTCACTGCTTCCTTTTAAATAAAACATAGCTACTTTTTCTTTCTATATAATTTACAATGTAAATAGATAAAATGTGCCTGCATGTAGTATAAGTGTCACTCAAAATGCAGTTGCCCTAAATAGAGGTATTTACAACAATACATTTTCTTCTAAGCACCATCCCATATATTTTTAAAAATTGTAGTTACACTTTAAGTTGTCCAGTATCAAGTATTACAACATTCCAATGTAAAATGAAATGTTAAAGAAGACAATAATGATTTCTGTCCTCAAGAAGCTTCTGTGATTCTCAAATATATTGCCAAATATGATTCCCAAATATCTCTGGTTCCTTTCTCTCTCCCTAGACATGGAACCATGTTTTGTTTCCTAGTATGTCCCACCTAAAGGGCCCCAAAACAACCTAAATTCAGCATCTCAAACTGGACTTTGTGTATTCCTCCTTAATCCTACTTTTTCTCTGATTATCTCTTGCCATCTAAAGCTAGAAATCTTTTATCATCCTTGGTTTCTCTCTCGCCTTCACTTTTAGCAAACAGCAGTTGAGCATTCACTCTACCTCATTCTCATTTTCCGGAGTCAACCACTTTCAACAACTTCAGCTCTGTATTTAAGTAATAGCTATGCTTATTATTTGGAAATGTACTTATTGCTATTTCTGAATCCTTACAGTTTAGCTATTATCTATTTATTTCTTACTAGAGAAGATGAGAACTAAGCACCTGTACTCCTGCGTCAGTGCATCAGTAGTCCTGCCTAACACTACTCCAAAACTTAGTGGCTTCAAGCAGCAAAAATTTATATTGCTTATGCATCCGTGAATCAGCTGTGTGATACTGGAGCTATGTGATTCTAGGCAGTTGATCTCTGTTGGCCTTCTTATTTGTCTATGGTCAGCTGTGGGTTGGGTAGGAGGCTTTGCTGATCTTGGCTGGGCTCTTTCACATTCTGAGGGCCTCAGCTGGAACAACCAAGTTGATTAGGTTTTGTTTTACATGGTGTCTTTATCCTTCAGCAGGTAGTCCAGACTTATTCACATGTTGCAGGTAGGGATCCCCAAAGAGAGCAGAAGTACGCAGGGAATCTTGAGACTTAGGCTCAGAAGTGTCACATTACTTCTATCATATTCTAATGGTCAAAGCAATTTACAAGACTAGTCCAGATTTAAGGAGTGGGTAAATAGGCTCCATCTCTGGATGGAAGGAACTACAGATGCATTACAGTGTGAGGATACAGAAAAGGGAAAAATTACAGCCATGTTTGAAAGGAAACTACTACCCCTCCCACCTCTAACACACACAAATGTCCTCCCATCCCTTAATTAGATATGCTCTAATTTTTGGTAAGATCAATATTCATAACATTATTATATCTATATAAGTATATTCACAGCTGAGCCATGTAGTATACTATGAGCAAATTTTCTCTCTTATACAATATTTTGTTTTCCCTGGAGTTAATAATTGGCTCTTTTGTATGTATTTGTGTAGTTTCCAGTATATCAAACTCTCTACCAGAAGTGACATTTTTTTAATACATTCAAATCATTGGGTAATTTATGAAATCATTTTTGCCAAGAACACATCAATTGTGAATCCCTCTATCCTCCTGCTCCAATATGAACAATTTATTCACTAGGTACGCTGTATGACAGTCAATCATTATAAAGTTTCCTTTCACAAGCTTTCTGGGGACTTCCTCTCCTATTACTATCGCTTTCTGAGTCCTGTGTCTTCCTCTTCCTTGATTTACTACCTCATGATGGGGGAGTAAAGTATGCTTAAAAAATAAAATTCTTCCATTACTAAATTGAACTAAAACCCTTCCAATACTAACATTTCCATGCTATCTTCACATTTGGTTGAGTTTAGTTGGGTATTGAATGCTAATTTGAAAACACATTTTACTTAGAATTTTGAAATCTTGTCTTTATTGTTTTCTGGCTCAGTGTGTTTTAAACTATGTATGGTGAAGAATAAGCTTTAAAAAATGTTCAATCTGTTGAGGATTAATATCTTGTAAAATACAGTAAACATCACAGCAATGTCAAATTGATGTAAAAGTTTCTAACTGTTTACTCTTACTTTTTGTCCTTTAAACCCTATACAAAATTATGTATTTATAACTTCTAATTCTCATACTCTTCTCTAATTTTATATTTAATACTTTTTATCAATATCCTGGACTACTGTTATTCATAATCTTTAATTATTCTTAATTTTCAGAACCTTTCCTTCTTTTCATCTAGGTAAAAAATTTGCCCCCTGTCTTCATTTATTCTTGTGATCTTTGTAGATGACATAACTTGGAAATCTGCTTCTGATCTAGTCCTTCAAGTTATGACAGGAACTACTATATTGTTTAATATGGACTCTTCAATTATTTTGTTACAGATATTATTTAGGCGAGGACACAGTGGCTTAGAGAAATTGATTTGCAAGGATATTGATGATACCTCGATATCTTTTCTGTTACTCTGCCTCTAAAAATGATATTTTGCCTAAAGTCTTGACAAAATTCTATTACTTTACACAGATTTTCCTTTAAGTGTTTATCTTCTCCATTTACCATTTTAATGTATGAAAGAATAAGTCTGAAGTCATTCTTAGCCTCACATTTTAAAATTTATGTCTTTTCCTTGGCAATATAAAAAATCTTTCCTGTTACTTATGAAGAAATCTGGGCCTCTTTATTTCAGGTTGTCCCTCAATGAGAATGTAGGGACAACTGACATTTATTGAGAATACTCTGTGCTAGGTTATTTTGCTTGTATTATTTTCATATCCATGCAGAGGCTATCTGTTTCTCTACCATCAACTCCTTGGCCCAACCCCCCAAACAAACTTTATTCCTTAAAAATGCTTCCCATGTTTCTGGCCTTTTCTGTTTTTGGTGACACACTTGTGTTTTTGCAAATGAACTCTTGATCAATCTCTAGCTCATTTATTTTTTCCTGCATTATTTGTTTTTAAGTGTAGATTGTGTTCTGGATGCATCTTGGTTACTAAGGATTCTTTATTTTGCCCATCAGCTCTGCTCTTTACCCATTCAATATTAATTTTGTTTTTTTTTACATTGTAGCATATTTCCCTTTTGTAGTATTTATTTCTCATTTTGTCATTTAAAAACAGACTAGCTATGTTTATTAATAATTAATATGGTACTGACTATGTACCAGGCAGTGTTCTGAGTATTTTATGACTAACTCTTGACTCTCATAACAATCCTATAACTGGATACTAATATTATTATCTGTATTTTATGGATGATAAAACTGAGGCACTGAGAAAGTACATTACTTACCCACAGTTAATGCAGCTAAGGGATGGTAGATCTCAAATTTGAATTAGGACAGTCTGACACCAGAATCTAGGCCTTAACCCTGATGATCTCCTGCCTCACATATGTACTTGAGGCTCTCTAACAGGTATGTACTAGTTTCTTATTTGCAACCATAACAAATTACCACAAATTAAGTGGCTTACAACAACACAAATTTATTATCTCATAGTTCTGTAGGTTGGAAATTGACATGGGTCTCACTGGGCTAAAATCAGGGTGTCTGGGAGGGGCTGTGCTCCTTCTGGAGGCTCTAGGGAGAATGTGTCTCCTTGCCTTTCCCAGATTCCAGGGGCTGCCCACATCCCTTGGCTCACGGTCTCCTTCCTCTGTCCTCAAAGCCAGCAATAGCTGTCAAGTCTTTATCACACTGCATTGCTCTGACTTTCTGCCATCATCATATCACATTTTCTGACTCTGACTCCTCTCTGCCTCCTTATAAAGTTTATAAGAACCTTTGTGATTATATTGGGCCCAGCAGGATAATCCAGGATAATCTCCCTACTTTAAGGTCAGCTCATTAGCAACCTTAATTCCATCTGCAACCATCTGCCCTGTAGCCTAACATATTCACAGAGATTAGGGCATGAATGTCTTTGGCGGGGGTGTTATTCTGTCTAGCATAAGATATTAGAGTTTCTATCATACTGGCCCTCCTGGACTTCTGCTCTCTTCTAATTCCAATTTGGTATCACAATTTTTAAAGAATTATATCTGCGTTGCTTTAGAAAATTATCATTAGCTTGGCTACTAAAGCTTACTTTATCTGCTTTTTTCTATGTTTTGCTTCTGTGTTTTTGAAAAAATGCTTTGTTATTTTTCCATATTCTTAACCAAGGGTAGACTTTCTTTAATTTTATTCCACTAAATTCCTAAAGGTCTTTACCAGAGAGCCTTATTACTATGGTTCGGTTTACACTGTTAACAAAATGATGATTGAATTTTAAAATTCCAGGCTACAAACATTTTGAAATGAAAGAGAATTTTTAGGAGATAAGGAAAAGATATTGTAATCAGAAAATGTTCTAAACTTTATTTCTTATATGTAAAAGGAAATATTTTGACAGTTATATTATGGATGTTGTTGAAATCTAAATGATGTAAAAAATAGACCTATTTCACAAAACTAGGAAAAAATACATAAGACTGCTTATTGACATTATTATTTTACAGGCAAAAAGTTTCAGAACCCCAACAATAAGGAGTATCACACCTTTATCTGGAACTCCAGGTCTGCTATATGACAGCTGAAATAGCTTTTGGTTTTGTAGTAAATAATTTATTTACTTTTTAGTATATCAAATTATTATAACAGCTGAAAATTTATAAATATAATTTTTCTGATTATAAAAATAACTACCAATTAAAAAATATTGGCTGCATATTATTGCTGCATGTCTGCATCTTAATCAACTGCAATGTATTTAACTTTCCCCTCATGTTGAAAACTGAGTTGGCTTCCAGTGTTCATTATAATAACTATATTATACCAGTTTATAATTCCAACGGCAATATGTGAGAAGGTCCTTTTCTGTACCCTTGACAATTCTAGGTGCTAATTTTTTTCTAATATTTTATATAAAAAATATAGTAGGTTTAAAAAATTTTTTTCTAATTCCTTGATTTATGTAATTAAATTTATTTTATGCTTATGACCAATTGTATTTTTCCTTGGATACATTACCTATTCATCTCTTTGGCTTGATTTAAAGCTAGCCATCTTTTTTCATATTTAGTTACAAGAATTCTTTATATTTTAAGGGTATTAACCATTTATATGTCACATATATAGAAAATATTTTTTGAGTTTATCATTTGCTTTTAAAATTTAATGATTTTTATGTCATTTAGACTTTTAATTTTTATTATCAAATTTATAGATCTTTACTTTTGTCATTTATTTCTTCAGTTTTATGCTGTAAAAGATCCCACCATCCTGATTATGTAGATATTATGTAAATTTTCAGCTATTTTTCAAGTTTTCATTGTTTTGTTTTATTTTATTTTACTTTTAGAGATAGTTTCTCACTTTGTTATGGTCTCATTTTCTATATTTAATTTTTATTTCACCTAGAATTTATTCTGTTTTTTGGTATAAAGTAGGTATTTTTTTCAAAAAACTCACCCATTGACATAAGTGATATTTATTGAATAAGTCATCCTTTCTTCCATAATAGACTTCTTTAATCTGTAAATACTTACTAATACTCATTCATGTTTTATTGTATTGCTAGAACTTTCAGAACAATGGTAAACAGTAGTAGTGGACATAGGATATAAGTATCTGAATGCTGGTTTTATTGGGAAAACCTCTAATGTTTTGGTATTAAGTATATGGAGAGATATTCTTACACTGAACCTTTTTGGAATTTTTTGTTTTTAGGTACACTAATTACAATCCAAGGCAGAATCTTCACTGATGTCTACGGAAGTAATACTGCACTAAGCTCAAATGGGAAAAATGTTAGGATTTTGAGGTAATTTTCATGCAAAAATATATTCCTATAACTCAAAGATGGGATATAATATTCCAAAAATAACTGGCCCAATGACATTAAAACCCATTACAATGGGATGGGACTAATCATGTTTTTTCAGCCATGTTATAGAAAGAAAAATAGACATTTGGATGATACATTGATGTGGAAACAATGGTCAAAATGCCTTTTTTTAAAGGTCTGACATAATTCTTTATTTTTCTGTGACAGATTTTATTAACAGAAGACACATGGAGGCAAATCCAATAGAAACAGAGTTATAGTAATGACATTTTATTACCAGAGGACTTTATTACTTAATCTAACTGTCTCATTTTGCATATAAAAAGTACCTAAGGCCTGGAAGTCACACAGTCAAGGTCAGGAGTAGAACCCAAGTCTTGTAACATGTAATTTGTACTTTCTCTACTGCACCATGGTACACAGCATAGTGCTGAAACTAAAAGTGGCAAATAACTCATTAAGAGGCCAAGGTTTGAATCCTGGTTCCTTAATTTACCAGGCAAGATTAGGTTGCAGGGAATTCCATTCAATTCAATTCAATTCAATTGTTGACCAGATGGTAACATTGGCTGGTTAAGTACCATCAAAATATAACTGTTCACATTTTGGACTGGGAACTAACATTGTCATGAGAGTTATCTTCCTGTATTATAGATAGTGTTATCTCAGTCCTGCCTTAAAAGACTGAAAGTCCTGTTCATTTCCTGCAGAATGAAGTATAGATTCAGAATCATGGTTTTCAAGATGCTTCATGTTTATTGAATACATAAATAAAACAGATAAATGGATAAAGTAAATAAACAATTCAGATAGCAATTAGAGATTTTTTGGAGTACTAAAAGGTGAGATATATATGTACACACACATACATATGCATATATAGTGTTGTGAAACAAGTAATTCGAAAGGTTTTAATAAATGAAATAACAGTGGTTTATCTGGTATTCTATGAAGTAGAATTCTCAATCAAACCACATTTGTATGTATCTATAATGTTCTGGAAATGTTCATATCATTCCTTATATGTAATAAAAGGACTACTAAGTAGAGGAATATTTATCACCTTATATATACAGTTTAGCATAAGTAAAGATTTCATCTGCCTCAATGTTATTGAGTGTTATGAATGGTTGATATTGTAATTCTTAGGGTCTTCTAAGTCATCTTTTCCCATAGTAAGGACAGAAAATACAAAATTTAACTTTCAAAAAGAGGTTCCTTTTTTTCCCCACTGTAAGTGGAATTTATTTTTGTTTAATACAAGGGACTGGATGGAAATTATTTTATGAAATCATGGAATCATAGTCAGAAGGGACCTTCAAGGTCAGGCTAACTTGCCTTGTACTCCAGACATCCTGAGATATTGTATATACATATAGTAAATTTTTTCATACACCTATTACTGGATGGTGAGACGGTCTTAGAGCTATATTTCCACCATGTTAATTATGATACTAGGTCTCCCACGGCATTTCATTGCGCACAGATTCCATTAGCTGTGGGGGAAGTCGAGAGCAATGGCTGTATTCTGGGCAGGAAGTCAGGAGACCTGCTTCTCACAAATCTTGTCCATTCAGCTAAATCTCCAATCAGACCAGGTATAAATTACAGAGGACATGCAAATGAGTAGAGGGGCTTAGTGCTTATCAAAGAGCTTTTGGTCTGAAACATCAGGTAAGAAAAAATTTTTTAAATATGTTTTTAAGGCCAAATAGGGTAGTATTATCACAAACACACATACCCAGACCACTATGGGGATCATCGGCTGTGGTTAAGAGCATAGACTGGAGCCAGACTGTCTGGGTGTGAATTCCTGCTCTACCCTTTATTGGCTGCAGGCTTGGGCAAGCTGCTTAACCTCACTGCTTCTGTTTCTTCATCTGTAAAATTGAAGGATAATATAATAGTTGCTAACTCATAAGATGGTTGCAAAGATTAAACGTAGTAGGAGCCTATAAGTGTTAGCTGCTAAATTCATTTAGTTGGAATAAGGCAGCAGGTTAGAAGGAGAATTTGAATATGTCAATCTCTATAAGGAGTGCAATACAGTTTACTTGCTTTACAAACCTAATGTAATGATCAAATGAACTGACTTAAGTAAAAAGGTATGTTACAAAGCTTAAAATTTTCTGCAAGCAAAACTTTTTATTTTTTATAGTTCAGGTTTGTATCTGGCCCTATTTTGAGTCTTGGGTTTGCTGTCACAAAAGCTGGTGGTTTATCTGGTGTTGCAAAGTATACAAAACCAGTCAGTCAGTCAGTTGCCGGCCTCAGGTTTTGTCAGCCTTAAAGTGATAGATTAGACCTGATCAGCTGGGGAAATGTGACAACAGATGTTTTCCCTTGCCTCTTCTCAGCTTCTTTTTTTTTTTTTTTTTATTTCAGCATATTATGGG